GGTGGGCACCCTTCCCAGGTGATTCTACAGTACAATGAGGCTTGAGGACTCCGCTGGAGGAATGCTCAACTGGGCGGGGTCTCTACTGGAGGAGCAGAGTGGCAGGAGAGGTGGTGGGGACACCCCCCCGGGTCGGCTTTGCTGCCCGGACCTCCCCCAGCCTCAGGGAGGCCTCCAGGGGCGATTGCTCTCAATGTCTCCACCCAGCCCCTCCCTCGGAGAAACCCACGCCCTTCCAGCCTAAGCCTTGCACAGAGAGCCTGGAAGAGAGTGGACAGGGGGCCACCTGTGCCCCTCCGGGAAGTCTCACCAGCCCGGGGAGAAAAAAGGACAGTGTGCGCATTTTTCCTAACACTAAATTCTCTTAGCTTAGGTAGGTCATATTAATAATTTATTTGGCCTTAAAATGTCCTTTCTTTTATGAAATAATGTTTACAATAGATGCCAACTGGTAGTCCTCTCCCGATGGTAGGCCTCTCTCCTTTTTTCTTCTTAATTTTACAAGTCTGGAAATCCCTGTGTGGGAACCACTGATCCACACTTAAATTCCTGGACTGGATTCCACTCTAGCTTGCAACCAAGAGCCCTGCCCTTGGGCTCTGGAACTCCATGGACCCTTCCCTACCACACTGTGGCTTCATGCACATGTCACTGCAGCCACACAAGTGGTTCAAAGTCCCTTGCTCCGGATGGTCACACAGCCAACTCGCCTGGTGGGAGTCCGCCTGGAACGCCGTTCCACCTACCTGCTTCTCTTCTGGACTAAATACCCACCTTCTCACAGGGGCTGAGTCCTGACCTGTCCCCCTGCAGCTTAAGCTACAGTGCAAGCACTACTGAGAATCAAGAAGGAAACGGGCAGGTGCTTGGGCTGTACTCGAGTTTTAAAAGATGAAGGATTTTTTCAAAAGTTTTGTGGAGATAAAATGGACGTACAGTAAACCTCATTTAAAGTTGTATTCAATATTTTGAAAGAATGTGTACTTGGTGTTTTTAAACATCTTTACAAAGAATTGACCAGGATCCACTTTCTTAGTGCACCCAACCCTCTCAATCTTTCTCCTTATGTGATTTCTGACTCCAAGGAGATTTAGTAACTTCAGGTACCAACAGCTAGAACAGTCTTGGGACTCAATCATCTGTTACTGTATTTCACATTATTTTGCAACTCTATGTGCAAACTTGGGCTTTGTCTCCTGAGACAATATACTAATTTTGTTTTCATCCCATTGTGCCCGGAACAAGTTTGGTGAGGCATCAAAAGTGCGGTGAACACGTGGGAAGGCCCTGGGAAGGGAGAGGCAAGTGACCTGTGGGCACCCTGGGGGTCTCCCAAACCCGGACTGGGCTCGGCTTGGTCAGCCTCCCAGAAGCAAAGCCAAATCCTTTTGAGGCTTCTTCAGGAACTGGAACCATCACCCGCCAAAGGCGGGCTGTCACGTTTCTCCGCCTGAGGCAAAAATGAAAGTGCCCAGGACTAGCGGGGGTCGTGGGGGAGCCCAGCCGGAGGAGGGCTTGGACTGAGCTCAGGATCAGCCCCAGTTTTCTGGGGAGTCCGCACAGACGGTGCTTAGCAAACTTAACCGGAGCCAACAGGGCCAAGGAGAAAGGCTTAGAGAGAAGGGAGCGGGCAGGACAGGTCAGAAACCAGAGCGAGCGGGGAAGTCACGCTTGGCCACGGGTACCCGCTGGGGACCCCAGCAAAGCTGGAAACCAGGAGACTTGGGCCCCTGCCCTAAAGAGTAGAGTCTGGAAGTGTGACCTGACAAGGGAGGGTTCCCAACCCACACGAGACTGTTGTTTATCTGATACGTGTGACCCCGCCAAAATTGGAAAACAGAAAGGGCTGGAGTCAATCAATTGCGTGAGGCTGTCAGGGCGGCTCGCGGGTGCGCAACGCGACAGAGCCCTCGTGGACTCGGACAGAGGCAGTGGGATCCGGCAGCGCGAGTTCAACGCTGGCAGAGACTCTGGGGACAGAGGGCCGCTGCCCGAGGCCCCGCGGCGGGCTACCCCAGAAGGATTGACACCGAGGGCGCACCGAAGGCTGCGGACGGCCCGCGAACTCCGAGCTGGGGCGCCCTCCCGCGCCCTGCTGTTCACGCGCTCTCCCCGTCGGGTCCCACGCGGACGTCCTACCTGGCTCTGGCCCAGGTCGCAAGGTAGGGCTCCACCGTCGAGGTGTACAGGGCGAAGAGGATCCCCGAAAAGGCGGTGGCCAGCAGGAGCAGCAGCCAGAGGCGCCGGCCGCGCGGGAGCGCCATGCAACCCCGGCCGCTGGGCGCCCCAGCCGCCACCCGCACGCCAGCTGCTGGCCCG